GCACAAAAACGCACGCACTCGGGGGGCAAGAAGCATCTCTTGTCTACACACACTGTGTTGTGCATGGAGGACATGCGTGAAGACGTCGTGGATAACGGAGTCGCTCACGCGCCCGTCAAACTTGCGCGCAAAGAAGTTTGGCGCAGACGGGAGCGACTGAAGGTGGCGAGTGCGAATGTTTGTGTGTGTGTGTGTGTGAGCGCGCGCGCGAGAGAGAGAGAGAGAGAGAGAGAGAGAGAGAGAGAGAGAGAGAGAGAGAGAGAGAGAGAGAGAGAGAGTGTGTGTGTGTGTGTGTGTGTGTGTGTGTGTGAATGATTAAATGAGTGAATGTGTGAGTAAGAGTATGCGAAGGAAACAAGTTGTGATTGCGGTTCGTCATAGAAGTACTTTGCACATGTGCGTGTGTTTGCGGAAAAGGAGCAATTACTGACCTTGAGCAATCGTAGATCGTCCGCAATGAAGACGTTTGGGGAACAGCCACACCAGTCAACGAGATGCTTGTACTGCCAGAGACGTGACGCAGAGTTGGAGGGAGAGAGTTTTTGTGTGTGTGCGTCGTCATCTCGCGAGCGATTGCTTGTGTTGTGTGTGCGTCTGTGCACGTGCCTTTTGTGTACGAGACAAGACATGCAAGCACAGGCAACCACCAGCGGCCACGACATCAAGAACACCATTCCCACCTGGCATTTGCACCCGAGACTGCCGCGCCAGTTGGCAAAGCGAAGATTGGAAGAGATGAACCGAGAGCAAAACCTGTACCCCCCCCCCCACACACACACACAAAGAGAAAGAATCGTTGGATGAGGAAACACCTTGGGAATGGCGTTGGCAAGCAGCTTGAGAGAGACAGGTGTGCAGATTCACACACATGCGTTTGTTCACAGTTCAGCGACGTGTTTTGTCAGCGCTTACTCTGAGTTGTATGCGATAATGTGGAAGTAGGACTCTGCTGACAGCAGCGAATGGTCGTAGTAGCGCCTGCACAACACCAACACATGTGATGCGCGTTCCATGCTGTGAGATCGGCTGGCAAAGCGCTGGAGACAAGCAAACAGCCGCATTCGCGTTGTCGAACAAAGCACAACATGCCACGCACACAGACACACAGGCGGACAGGCAGCCAGACAGATACACACACATAAAACACACACACACACAACAACAACAGACAACAACAACAACAACAACAACAACAACAACAACAACAACTAC